ACAGAGGTAGGAATACAGACAGGCAGATAGACAGAAAGACAGATAGTTAAGTAGGGTATGGCAGCCCAGCTTTTGGGCCACAGGGTGCCTACAATTGGGCCCCAATTCTAGATATTTTCTTTCCGACAAATATTAAAGATTATATTTTCTAGCTGTAAAGATAACTGCACTCTGCCTTTAATGGACCATTCTCTTCTTTCTGATTTTTGTGATCCTCAGGCAGTATTGTGAATTTGAATTCCGGGTTCTAGGGGCGGATGGAGCTGGCTGAAGCCCTCCTACACACTCTCAATGTAGTGGGTGAGGAGACAGGAAAAGAGAAGAAGGGGACAGGCAGGGCTGCCTGCGAAGTCCCCTGTCACCTCGCTGGTTTCAGTGCCATAGCACGCATGCAAAGGGAGATAAAAATACCTCCTCTGAGGCTGCTCGGGGTGACATGAGATAACTCAGGCAGCACACAGGCGCTGTCTCCTCTCTGCTTTGAGTCATGGAACCAGTTACGTTAGAGGAGGGGGAAGGGCCAAGAGTGGATGAAAAGAGAAAACTAAAAGAGATTATGAAACTGACGGGGAAAACAAGGACACACATAGCTGACATTAATTTTCCTAAAATGAGAGGTTCTGCAGAAATGGAAGGAGAGTTATTCGGAGGACATACCAGCCCCAGGGCAGGAGCCAATAAAGCAAGGGCCTGGCTTTCCTCACAGGAACCCTCAGGGACCTGGTGTGTAGACAAGAGGAGGGGAAGGAGAGGAACAGGAGGAAAGGGGAGGAGGGAAGGGGGAGGAGGGAAAAGGAGGAGAGAGAGGAAAGAGACGGAGGGGGAGGGGTAGAGGAGGGGTCATTTCTCAGGAAGAAGAGGAGGAGGAAGAGAAAGAGGAAGATGTATTCTTCACGAAGAGGCAGAGTGGTCATTCCCAAAAGGAGGAGGAGAAAGAAAGGGAGGAGAAGGAAGAAGAGGAGGGGGGAAGGGGAGGAGGGAGGGAGAGGAAGAGGCCTGCCTCTGGAGAGAGGGAAACCAAAGTCTGAGCCACAGTTGTTGACTGCTCAGAGGGTAACACAGAGGAACAGAGAAATGCTGCTTGAGAAGACACTCAAGGGTAGAGGTTCTCGAGGTCTGGAGCAGGGAGGAACACCCTAAATATTAGATGGCAGGTTAAGATGCAGAGCCAGCAGTTGCTCACAGTCTATTCGAGGGCCACTGAGGGGCAGGGTGCTGCATAGGATTCATGACAGCCTCCAGAGGAATGACGGTTCATCCTCACAGAGCTGACTGACAAAAACACGAAGGGGCATGCTAAGAGGTTGCTTTCTGTGCCATGCCGCGGGAGGAGGGGGACGCTGGAGGAAGGCTGCTCTCCTGGCTCAGAGGGAGCACGGTGCCATGTCATGGGAGGAGGAGGACACCAGGGGAAAGGCTGCTCTCCTGGCTCAGAGGGAGCACGGTGCCATGCCATGGGAGGAGGGGGACACTGGGGGAAGGCTGCTCTCCTGGCTCAGAGGGAATACTGTGCCATGCCGTGGGAGGAGGGGGATGCTGGGGTGGGGAGCCCTCCCTGTCCTGGGCTCTGCAGAACCTGAAGTCTTTGCTCTTTCCCTGGAGGCACATATCAGTAAACTGTCACACAGAAGTCAGCAGGGAAGCAAGGGTGGCGTGGGGTGTGGGGAGCGAGGAGGCTCTCATTCAGAGCGATCATGAACTTGCCCTGGCATCATGCTGTGTGTGACTGTGTACAGGAACACACTTGCACACATCCATGTGGCGGTCACAAACTAGCTTTAAGTATTGTCCGCGGGTGTCTTTTGAGACAGGGTTTCCCTCTGATCAACTATCTGGGAGGCTAGGCTAGGTGCCCAGTGAGTCCCAGGAGAGGTATGCCTGATTCCAACTCCCCAATTCGGATGTATTACTTTTTCTTTTCTTTTCTTTTCTTTTCTTTTCTTTTCTTTTCTTTTCTTTCTCCCCCCTTCCTTCCTTCTTTCTTTTTTCATTTTCTTTTTTTTTCTTTTTTGACATGAATTCTGGAGAATCAAACTTATGTCTCGTGTTTTTAGGACAAACATTTTTACTGATGGTTTATCACCAATCCTAGGGGCCGTTTTATCTGTCAGGAGATATTTGGTACTCCGAATATACCCTGTATACAGAGATCATCATCACCCCTTACAAAGATCAAGATTAGCTATAAAATGCCAGGACTCAGTGCAACATGACAATGTGGACCCCTTATTAGTACACGAAGAAAACAGCAAGAGTAGAGGAGGAAGTAAGTACATTGCTCTTGACCTGCGGGTCCTTGTGGCACTGCCAGGGTTACATAAAGAGGCCAGCAACTTGCCTAAGTAAGTTCTCAGCTGGTTCATACCAGGTCCAGATTCCAAATCCCATGGCCAACTTCTTCATCACTAGCACACTGATGAAAACTATTTGGGCTACACAGTATTTTTTAAAATGACTGAAGAGAGCTTGACAGATGGCCCAGCAGGCAAGGAGCTTGCCTCACACATGAGGACCTCAGTTTGACGTCTCAACCCATGTAGAGAAAAGAAAAACAGGGCGTGATGGCAGGTGCTTGTGGTCCCAGCTCTAGGGAGGAAGAGTTAGGAGGATTCCCAGGGCTTCCTAGTCAGAGAGCCTGGACTCATTGGCTCTAGGTCAATGAGAAGTCTTGCGGTAAAAAACAAAGTGGAGGCCAACTGAACATCCTATTGGGTAAAGGCCTTTGAACCTGGACCCTCACGGGACTCACATAGTGGAAGGAGAGAACTGGTTCCCCCACATGGTCTCCACACGCATGTGCGTGCACACACGCTAAATAAATTAATAAATAAATATATAAATAAATAAATCTCAACGCTCCCAAAGTAGGGGTGGACAAGGCAGATGGCACCCAAGGAACCACATATGAGGTTGTTCTTTGGCCTCCACACACATACATGACACACTTATACCTACATGAACTTCCAACCTCTCACACTTATGCAGCCTCAGCTGCTGAAGAGGAAGGGAAAGCTGAAGCCTCTAGCCCCGCGAAGCACCACAAGCCTTTCCACCGAGAGAGGATCGCTGGCAAGTGAACTCGCTGCTCAGTGGACACTGAAGCCGCTGACTCTGGGCCCAGCACAAAGGGTAGATAGGCACGGCTGCTCTACCGGGTCTGCTGTGGGAAGCCATCCTATCTTCCCACGTGACAGACTCTAGAGCCCGTTCGCTACTGCTGACATGTGATGGTTCTCCAGGCTAGAGTTCCAGGTGGAGCCGGGCTTGCAGGTCCGCTGGAAGAGTGGGTCCTCAGGAACATGCACCACACATGAAGGAGAAATGTGGGAATTTAGGTGATGGCTCTCTGTGACAGGTGCCTATCGGCACCACCAGGCAAAGCCGAGAGAGGCGGCCAGCTAATGAGCATGTGCCAGGGTGGAAGGGGATACCTGGGCAGTGCTGCCGGCTGCGGGCACCACAGGAGACCTGAAATAGAAATTCCTTCTCTTAGCCCTGGAAAGGAGTCAGAGAAGGAGTGTGTGATTTAATGCAGAGGGAGATGAGCAGAGACTGCAGAAAAGGATCAGCGAACAGTGTCAGTGAGGGGCTAGGAAGATGGCTCCAGTGTGTCAAGCATCCCCAGAATGTATGCAAAAGCCCTAAACATCAGAAGCAGTTGTGTAGGCGTCTGGAAATCTACTGAGGCTAGTGAAGTGAAGACCAACATCCCACATTGTCCTCTAACTTCAACATACACACCACAGTATGCACACATATTACTGCATGTGTACACACTCTGACCTCTATATACGCACCACGGTATGCATGCATATTACTGCATGTGTGCACACTCTGACCTCTACATACATACAACGGTATGCATGCATATGTACTGCACATGTATACACTCTGACCTCTACATACGCACCACAGTATGCATGCATATGTACT